TTTTTTGTATGTTTTTTCTTAACATTTATAAATATTTTTAATTAAATATTGACGTGATAATAAATATGTATAGTGAATTTTGGAAATTAAATACGTAATTAAATATAGAAGAGAGTGCATCTCACCGATTTCAATCATTTTCAAACATGTTACCAGGAGTATGATTTTGAACAACTTTTTCCTGAACATCTAACTGCCTTTCGGTTTAGTTTCATAAGAGATATTCATAAAACACTTTTGCTACTTTTTATCTTAGCTTGAATTAGATTTGACTTAATTTGAGGTACGGACATGTATTATATACACATGTACGTTCGCAGCTCTCGCGTAGCTGAAGCAAGTAAACTAGCAATAAGTTGAGTTCCTTTCTTATCTTTCTGTGTTTACAAATTGGAACGTGAGACGACTGAAGTTCATATGTACGTATAAAGTATGAATGCATCGCGGCCCAAACACATCTATAATATCATCATGTCCGTATACAAAGCTAACTCAAACTTAACCCACACCAAGATAAAAAGTAGCAAAAGTATTTTTATGAATATTTCGGAAACTAAAGTCGTGCAGCAGCTTATATGTATAGAAAACAGTTTTGAAAAAGTTGTTCAGAATGTTAACTTTAACAACATATCTTAAAATTATTGAAGTCGGTGGGGCGTACCATCTTCTATATAATTACCTGATTTTTAATGTTGTATTTTTTTTTAATTTAATGTATAAAAAGATTATAAAATATGTATGATATGTAATAAAACTTCTATAATACCATTTTGCATTTTAGTCCCATGACGGTAAAATCGCATGTTAATAAAATGGTGAACTAGCTATATTTTTTTTTATTAAACTATTGCCATAAAATAAATGCGTTTACGAGTTAACCCTTTGTATGTAACAAACAAAATCACCATATGCATATTTATGAAAATATAATAATATTTTAAAAACAAGCTCACCAAAGTGGAAGTACCAACCGAGGGTATTCTAGAGTACAGATGTAAGATGCAACGGTGTACTTTAAGCCGAATTGGATTATTTTATTTAAAATATGAAATCTACATTCTTATTCAGTTTACTATACTTCTCACAATTCTATCCCATTTGCAGATCTAAAGTCGAACGATACATAATAAGCAACAACCCATGGAACTAAAAACGAGTATGAGCAGAAATGCTTATTAAAATATCTTCGTGGAAATATATATATGATACGATATTTGTCAAACAAAAAAATCTCTAATGGAACAAAATGTATGAAAAAATTAGTCAAGAAATAAATTCATATTTGAAAATTATTGCAAATTATTGTTCAAAGAACTAAATATATGTATAACAGATTTAAATAAATATTGTTGCAAACGTAAGTGTGACGTCTATTAGATAGCAGAAGAACGAGCTTATATTCTGTTTTTCGATTTCCTTACGGCAGTGATGCCAGCAAAAATCACGGCCGGTTTTCAGCTTGGCATATGGCAGACGTTACCTCGACGCAGCCGGTGTAACGTACTGCGACTATTATCCGTGTTGCCGTTGACGAATTACTACGATCAAAGCAAGTACTACCAAAGGATCAAGCCGGAACTACGATAAAGAACCTTTGCCTCTTTTTCTAGAGGCTTTGATTCCCGAAGAGTAAAAAGTAAAGATTTCTACCACGGTTTGATATATAGTAGTTTTCATACCTGTAACATTATTGATTTTAATTGTACATAAAGTTATTGTTTTAACGTGTCATATAATTCGTACTTAATATTAAATATAGAATCAACAATGGATACGGAATGAACAAATAGAGAATACTTGTAAATGTTATGCATACAGTTTATCAGGACACAGAAAATTGTAGAATATATCTGATCATATAAAATTTAGACGTGAACAATAGAAATATAAATGAGGTCCTTACGGTAGTTTGTTTTCCAATATAGTGGATATGGTTAGTGTTATATTACATTATAAATAAAAGATACGAGATCGATAACGAATATGTTAACGTTGAGAAAATAGCAAGGTGAAGAAATACATACAAGGACGTGGTAGCGAAATTATTCGAAGACTTTACGTCCTCATTATTGGCGACGTAATTTTAGTGTGTAACGACTCGAGGGATCCCCGGACATGGCTAGGTAGATAAAGATCGACGCGCTGGCCGTGAACTTTGCACCGTGAGAAGAGTTTTCTTCGCTTAACAAGTCGCACCAAAGTTCCCGCGCTTCCAAACAATGAATCCTTCCACGCGGTGAACAACCGTAGTCGTTTCCAGGATTCATAATAGAATGAGAAGGGAAGTTGGATGGTTTCGCGATCTCTTATTGTACTCTCTACGTGACTTTAGATTTTAACAGCTAGAAAACAATAAAATATAAAACAGATAAAGTGAAGAGAAAAGAGAAAGATAAGTAACTTTTCTAAATCGAATAAATATTTAATATGCATTACTTAAAAGTAACATAATGATTAAAGACACTGAATAATTTTTAAACTTTTATTAATAAGCTTCAAAAATATGTTATGAATTGGTAGTTTAGTCAGAAACAATTTAAAGAATGTACACTAAATTAGATTTTTATATTACTTGTATCAGTCTCTTAGATTACTTGCATCTCTATTACTTGTATAGACGTACAAATTTTACATGCCTAAGAACATAGGTATTAATTGATATTACTAAACATAAAATGAAAATTGTTGTAATTGTGATAGAAACAAAAATTTATTAGAAATATTCTAAAAAAAACACTAAAATCTCAATTTAATGATTAATGATTTTTGATATTCGATTAATGAGTTAAAATAGTTGTTAATGAAGTGTACTTAAGTAAAAAAAAAATGGTAAAAAAATAGTAGTGACTTTCATTCATTATGACGTGGTTATGACACCTCGAATCCTCGTGATGTGCTTAACCTGTTTTGCTTATAGCGCCAACTTCACAACGATTCATTGTATACACTCATATTTATATATACATACACGTAATAAAGATTCCAACCTTAATATAAAAAAGTAATCATGGGACGCCGTAAAAAGGTAATTTTTTATTTCAATTGGCCCTTGGTGAACAGCTTTTTTAATATATGTACAAATAATACAACATATATGTAAATTATAAATTAAATATTAATAAGATACCCATGTAAACATAAATATTCTTTTTAATAAGACGAATTTAGAGTATAGAACCGATAAAAATGATGCAGTTCCTTACTTAACTTTACATAAACATTATGCAGGGTCGTTGTGTAAAGAAAAATAAACAAATTAATACAGAAGAAAATCCAAATGTAGCAAAAGCACCTCATTCTTTTGTCATTCATCGTGGTCTACCTGGAGAACATATTGTTGAACTTACTAAAGACTTCCGCAAAATCATGGAACCTTTTACAGCAATGTCTTTAAAAGAAAGAAAAAGAAATACAATCAAAGATTTTGTATCAATAGCTGGTATATTTCATGTTACACACATGTGTATGTTTACAAGAACGGAGCAAGGAATGTATTTCAAACTTTGCAGGTACAGAATTCAATTATAATGTTAAATGTTTATATATTATCATAAATATTATTGAACAATTAAAAAATAAATTTATAATAGATTACCAAGAGGACCAACGCTCACTTTTAAAATACACAGTTTTTCCTTATCACGTGATGTAATATCTTTATTAAAAAAGCAAATGATATATGAAGAATTATTTAAAAATTCGCCATTAGTAATTTTAAATAATTTTAGTGGAGAAGGTATGCAACTGAAGCTTATTGCTTCTATGTTTCAAAATATGTTTCCAACAATTAATCTGACTACAGTAAGTTTCCCCTTAGACAGTAATCCTAGTTTATATATGTTAATTGTAGTTTTTCATTAGAATGAATGTTTTTTAATATCTCTATAGGTTAATTTAAGTACAATCCGTAGATGTCTGAGCTTAAACTATAATTCCACATCAAAAACCATTGATCTCAGGCATTATGCTATTAAAGTAGTACCTGTTGATGTATCAAAAGGTATCAAAAAGTTAATTCAAGCTAAGATTCCAAATTTGTCTAAATGTGAAGATTTTTCCGACTTCTTAACAAAAGGAACGGTTTCTGAAAGTGAAGCCGAAGATGATCCTTCAAATCATGTTACATTACCACAAACATTATCCTCGCGTGGTAATCATGCAAATAATAAAAGTGCAATTAGACTCTTTGAATTGGGTCCTAGATTAACACTAGAAGTAAGAAATAATTCTCTTCCTTTAAATAAATTTCGAAGATAATTACTAATTAACATTGTTGTTTAAAATCCTTTTAGCTGATAAAAGTCGAAGATGGACTTTTAGATGGTGAAGTACTTTTCCATGAGTATATTCATAAATCTGAGGAAGAAAAATTATTAATAAAGAAAAAACGAGAAGAAAAAAAAAAATTAAAGGAAAAAAGAAAGAAAGTGCAAGAAGAAAACAAAAAGAAGAAGGAATTGCAAAAACAAGAACATAAAGAAAAATCTTTGAAAGGAATGCAGAAGAAGAAAGAAAATGAAGTGTTACTACAAAAAATAGCAAAAGAATCAATTGAGGAGAACAATGTAGAAGATGATGATGCACAATATTATCGCGATGAAATTGGAGAAGAGCCCGATAAAGGTAACTTTAGTCTCATACGTTTAAAACGATTTAATATATTAACATCCTTAATCTACATCTTGGTCTATCTTCATTCGTAGATTTATTTGAAAGAAAAGTTGGTGCAAAAAGGCCTAGGAGTATGCCTAAATATAAAGTAAAGAAACAAAAACTTGGCAAATTATGAAGCATTGAACATTATGACGAATGTATGATGTAACATAATTTTATATGTATAGAATAAAATATTATTTAATAAACATGAATTTATACAACAATGAAGTTTTAAAAATATTTAATTTATTTCGTATAAACTATGTGAATAAAAAATTATTTTGATAAAATCATTAGCTTAAATCACAAATTTAACCATGTAATACATATCATTGTTAATTCGATCGCGATTATTTACAGTCTCATATAAATATATAAACATATAGTACAGGAATTATGAAGTAATAATTTTACTGATATGGAATAAGATACGCGGTTATTACATAGTGTCATATATGCATAAAAATGTATCATTAAGGAAGAAATCTAACATTATTTACGGCTTAAAATTTTTTCCAATATCTAAATGCCTGTTGTGTCTTATAATGCTGCTATCCTGTTGATTAGATCTATCTTGCAATGCTTCGTTCGGTCTCAAAGCAAACAAACTTTGTGCTTCTAGTTCTTGTATTCGATCCTGTAATTCCTTTATTTGCCGAGATCGGGACCGACACAAATCTTTCATTAACATTTTCTCTTTTTCTAATTTTTGGATTTTCACATGATCCTGTATAAATATTACAACTTCGTATGTAAATACTGTAAATTCATTAAAAATTAATATGTATTGATATTTTTGCTTACCTCAACAATTCCACTATTAGTACTACAGAAGCGCACTGTATTATTGGGTATTGTTTGGCAAGCTTGATCCTTTCTGTTTACGCGCCATCGCCTACAGACGTCACATTCCCATGCGTTAACGTCATTTAGAGTTCTGCGTAGTTTTCTTACTTCATTGTTCAATTCTGCATTCTGTACATAAAATTGAACATTTATAGTAATTATTACGATTTGAGCCTTTTGATTCGATGAGCTATACACTCAGAACCAATTTTTTATCATTTTTATAATTTATAACATACCTTATTACGAAACGCAAGTACAAGTTCTTCCAGTTCTTTACATTTCTTCTGATATGGGAAACTCTCGCTTTGAATTTGTATTTCTAAAGTTGCAATTTTTCCATTTTTCGATACTAACTGCAATTCTAATTCATGAATATCTTTTTTCAATTGTTCATATTTATCCTTGTATTCATCTCTATCAGATGTCACAGTTCTATTTTGTTTTCTTGTACTACTTTTAAGTATACTTTCATCATATGCTTCTATTCTTAATCTCATATGAAGCTCTTTAATTTCATTTTTGAGCTTTTTATTTTCTATTATGAAAAAGTCTAACTTTTGTCTTATATTACTATCTGATTCATTTTGTGTTGACTGTGAACCCAAATTAACTTTTAAGTTTGAAATTTCAGCATCACAATTGCGAATAGTTCTTACATATTCTTCTAATTCATTATTGAGTTCCCTATTTTTCATTGTTAAATCTCGTAGTTTATTTATACACTCCTTAAGTTCTTTATCCTTCTGATTTAACAATAATTTATGAGTTTCTAATTCCTTTATTATTTTATTCTTTTCTTCAAGTTCTTTAACAGAATTACTTGACTCTTCTAAGTTATTCTCTAATCTCTTATTCAAATTTTTTAATTGATTCGTGCGTATTTCTTTAGATTCAATACCATCTATCTGTATTTTATAAGAATTTATTTTCGCTTGTAATTCCAAATTTTCCTTTTTTAAGACGCGAATAATGCTTTCATTTTGAAGTTGAATGTCTTTCTCTACATTCATTTGCAATCTCATTTTAAGTGCTTCTACCTGATCGCGAAGTTTCTCATTTTCTTCATTGAGGTTCTTTAACTTTTCTTCTGCTTCATTAACAAGTACATTTTCTGACAAACGGGAATATATCTTGTCTTCTAATTTTGAAATTTCAATGTCCCGTTCTCGAATTATTGCCGCATATTCATCTAATTCATCATCCAGTTCCTTGTTTTTATCAGTTAATTCTTGTATTTGACTGATGTATCCTTTAACTTCTTTATCTTTTTGACTCAGTGTTATCTTTTTAACTTCTAACTCTAATGCAATTTTATTCTTTTCTAGAAGAAGTGCATCGTATTTGCCTTTGTCTATTAATGAACTTGAATTCGAGTGTTTCGACTTATATAATGAAAGTGTTCTTTTCAGTTCGTCATTTTCTTGCACTAGAAATTCGTATTTACCTTTTACATCAACTAAGTCTTTTAAAATCTGGTTTCTAATTTCTTGAAATTCTACCACACGATTACTTGCACCCTCCAGATTATTTTGTAGCCTTTTATTCAATTCCTTCAGCTCCTCTATTTCCGCTTCTGCTTTAATTTTGCTTGTACTATTTCTAATTTTTCTTTCTAGTTTTGCATTTTCTCCTTGAAGTTCTTCATATTTTTCTTTCAAACTATTCAATTCATCTATTAGAGTAACGTTTTTGTTGTTCAATTCATTTAATTGTTTACTTAATCCAAAATTTTTTGTTTCTTCCGAGTTTAACTTATCTTTAATAATTTCCAATTGCTCTTCCCTTTCTCTTCTCAGCATGTCTATTTCTTCTTTACATTGTGCTATAGTCAATTTTTGATCTTTGACATGCTCCTTTAGCATTTCACATTCAGGCACAATTGTCTCAAATTTTATTTTATATTCAGACAATATATCACATTTACTTTTTAGAACTGTAGTGATTTCTTCGATATGTAAATTCTTTTGCTCCACCTCTTGATTTACTTCATTATAAGCCTGTGTAAGTTGTTCAAGTTCTGTATTTATTTTTTTTACATTTTGACTGTATTTTTTTATTTCAGTCAAATTCATTTCTATGGTATTTTTCAATTGTCTTTCATTTGCTTCAAGGCCTTCAATCGTATTATTTAATTCCAAATTTCTGGTTTTGTGAAACTCTAGGGTTTGAACTAGATTATCTATTTTCTTTTCATACATTTCTTTCTCCAATTTATGTTTTGACTGTAATTCTGTTTCTTTGGTTTTAAACATTTCATGTACTTCTTTTTCTTTCTTCTGAGCAACAAGAATTGCTTCTTCTTGGTGATTATCAACCTTGCATTGTTTATCAAATTCAACTTGTAAATTATTAAAATCTGTTTCTAGCGCTCCCATTTTTTCTTTAAATATTTCTTTTTCGTAAGTGCTTTCTTTTAAAAGATGCTCTAATTGAGATATTGTATTTTGATATTCTTTTTGAGCATGTTCTTTTTCCATTAAATCTGCTTGGAGTTTTTCAATTTCTCCTTCCAATTCCTTAGCCCATGTTATAGTACGTTTCTCTGTATTTATGCATTGTTGTTTCTCCTCTTCTACTTTTTGTATTTCCTTTTCACATGTTTCTCTCATAGTTTTAATTACTTCGCTTTCCTTAGATACAAGCGTTTGAAGTAAAACTACAAAAATTTCAGTTACAGATTTACTTGGAAACTCTTGTAAATTTACATTATACTTAAGCGATCTAAGTTCTTTAATCATACATTTTCTAATTTCGTTTAATTCGTCATGAAGTTTTTCATTATCATGGACCAACATTTTTTGGTGGTCAAATAAACATTCTTTTTCTGCTACTACTTCGTTCAATTTTTCTTTGACATTTCGAAGACTAGTAAGTTCTTGTGATAAATTCAAATTTTCGTCAATATATTTATTTAATGTATCATTTAATTTTTGCATATTGTTTTCATATCCTTTGATATGGTGCTGGACCACCGAATCAAATTCATTCTTGTATTTCATTTCTAAATTATTCTTAATATTAATTACTTCAGTTTCTGCTGCTTGTAATTTCTGTGTTAGAATATATATTTCTTGCTCTTTTTCTTGTAGAAGTTTTTCCACATAAATAGCTTTCTCTTGAAGTTCTCTAAAGAAACATTCTTGATTTGTTAAGGTTTTTTGGAGATCATTTATATATACTTCCAATTCTTTGATCTTTAGCATCATATTATGTTGCTCCAATTCCTTACTAAGTACTTTATCTTTTTCTAATTTCTCGCATTGTTCCTTAAGATACTGTAACTCTTCTTTGTTCTCTAATTCTTTTTTCAGAGAGAAGATATCTTCATTTAATTGATTAATCAAGGCATTTTTATCCTGTTCTGTGCGTTTCAAGCCTTCTAATTCTACTTCTAAAATTAGTTTCTGTGATTCTAACTCTTTCTCTTGTATGGAAAACTGTTCAATTTCTCTATTTGTATTGGTCAATTCATTTTCAAGAATTTGTAGTTTCTTTATTGCAGTGCTTTCATTATTTAATATTGTTTTTCGTAATTCTTCATTAACATCTTTTAAGTTGTTAATTTGATCTAATAAATTTGCTTTTTCAGTTTTAAATTCATTAAGCATAACAGTAAAATTCATGCTATTTTCCTTTATTTCATCCATATCACTTTTTATGTGGTCAATATGATTTTGAATTTGTTCTATTCTATTCCCTGCTCTGTTCTGGATTTTTTTAGATGTAGAATCATCCGTGTTGGATTCATTTGCAATCATGCCACTGTGAAGTTGTTTTACTTCATCACACTTATCCTCATATAAAACCAAGAATTTATTATGCTCAGTTTTTAAAATTTGTAGTTCATTATTTAAACTCTGAATTCTTTCTTCAACGAAACTTACATTCATTTCATCAACAAAGACAACGTTCGAAGATACATCGTGTATGCTTAAATTTAATTCTTGATGTATTTTGTTTTTCAGAATCTCGGTGTCTGCACACTTGCGATCGAACTTTCTTTGTAAATCTTCTAACTTTTGATTCAAACCTTTCGTTTCAAGCTTAAGGATCCTGTGACTTTCATTCAAATTCCTTAAATGTACGCACTGGCTGCAAGACGTTAATTTTAAATCACTAAGTTTTTTATTCAAGCGCGTCAGGTGATCGATTTTGTTCTGCAATGCTATCACTTCATTTTCCAGAGTTTCCCGTGTTTCTTCTTGTGATACTTCGTATTCCATTTCATTGATGTCTCTACTATTATTGAATATTTTTGATAAATGCAAAGTACTGTTATATGATTTTTCATTTTGAGAAGAATCAATATTATCTAAAGTTTCTAATAGGTTAGTAGAAAATTTTGTATTTTCTTCTGATAATATTGTTACTTTTGTTTTTAATTCTGCAATTTCTGTTTTTAAGATATTATTTTCCATCTGTACATGTTCTACATCATTGTCAGCAACATGTTTATTTATTGATAGTGATTGCTCTATCTTATTTTTTAATATATCACATTGCTCCTTCAACATATCATTTTCTTCTATTTTGTCTATCAAGTCTGTAGAAAGTTCATTATTTTCAGCTAGCAAATACTCATTCTTTTCTTGAAGGGCAGCTATCTTCTTTGTGTAAATACAATCGTGATCATATAAAAGTGATTTACTTTCTTTGATGTTCTCAAGCTCTTTATTTTTTTCTGTGATAGAGGTTGACAATTCAATGTTTTCTGTAGTTAGTTTATCGATTTTTTTTCGATATGATTCTAACAACTGTTCTTCATTATATACTACTGACATCTTAGAATGCATAGATTCCAACTGATCATTCAAAGCTGTCAAATCACTCTCTAAAGTAATCTTTTCATTCGTAACTTCAGAAATACGCGCATAAAGTTCATCAATTGTTTTCTGAAGATTAATTTCACTTTGTTTTGCATTCTCTTGCTCTATAGTTAATTTTGTAGCCATTTCCATATTTTCAGTTGTTAACAGATAAATAGTTTCCTGCAATTTGTTTATGTCCGTTTTAAGGCTTTGAACATCTCTTTTTATATCTTCCAACTCCTGACTTTTTAGTTGGAGAGTTCCTTCTAATTGACTTTTCTCTGCTTCCATATTTAGAATTACATATGAAGTATCAGCATTGCTTCCATTTATTTTTGAAGGAGATAGAACAGATTCACTTCCTAAAAATGATTGATATTGATCTTCTAGATCTTGATTCGCAGTTTGAAGATTTGTTATTACATCTTGTAAATCATTTATCGTGTTTCTTCTTAACTTCAATTCTATATTCTTCTCATTTGATCCATCACGTATTTCGTCGATATCTTTAAGTTCATTATTTTCTGAAGTAATGTTTTCCATTTGCTCCTTTAATTCAGAAGTTTTAGTTTGCTCTAATACAATTGTTGATTCCAATCCAGGAGCTTTTTTCTTGAATTCAGCATTTAATTGGTTATACAGATTTTCAAATTCATTTTGTTCTGATAGAACACATTCTATTCTTTTATTTAATTCAGAGATCATTTTTATTCCTTTCTGATTCTCAATTTGTTCTAACTTTAATGCAGAAGTTTTTTGATCCAACTCAGTATGTAATTCACTAATAATATGGTTAAATTCATCTTTTGTAGAGTTGTCATCTGTTATATTGTCAATTTTTAGTTGGTCAGGCATTCCAATTATTTTCTGTTTTTCAATTTCTTCTGATGTTACTTTAGCCTTTAATATACAAGTGTTTTTAGTGCATAATTGTTGATGATCAACACAGTATAATTCATTCTTTTCAGATATCGTATCCGCAACTTGATTTTCAAGTTCCAAAATTTTTCTCGTTGCATCTTGATATTCAGTTTGTTCTACTGTCTTGGGATTCAACTCAAAAGTAGTTTGACTCAATTCGGCACGTAATTCATTATTGATATGTTGAAGCTCATTGTTTTCGGAACTCACGCTTGTAATCTGATTTTCAAATTTGGAGACTTTTTCCATTACATCTTGATTTTCAGCTTTACTTTGTCTTATATACGAATTGAATTCAGAAATTTTTGCATCTAATTGGGCACGTAATTCGATATTAACACGCTCATATTCATCTTTTTGAGATGTTATATTTTCAATTTGTTTTTCTAATTCGGAAATTTTTTCCACTGTTTTTTGATTTTGAATTTGCTCTGCTACCATCTTATTGTTTAGTTCAGAATCTTTTTGCTCTAATTCGATATGTAATTCATTATTAACGCGTTCAAGTTCGTTTTTCTCAGATGTTATACTCATAATTTGTTTCTCCAGTTCAGACATTTTTTCAATTGACTTCAAATTGTCAGCTTCCTTATGCATTGTTCGTGCCTCAAGTTCAGAACACTTTTTATTGAATTCGGTATTTATGCGTTGGAATTCATTTTTCTCCAATATTGTACTTTTCAATTTTTCTTCTAATTCAGAAATCTTATTATTTGCTTCTTGATATGCAGTTTGTTGCGACATAATTGTAGATTTTAGTTCTGAAATATTCATATTGCATTCATTGTTTATACGTAGAAATTCATTTTTTTCACAAGTAATATTTTCAATTCGTTTTTCTAATGTTAAAATTTTGTCCATTGCTTCTTGCTTTAAAGTATGTTCTGATTTAATTTTGAATTCCAAGTCTGTAATTTTGTTATGTAATTCATTTCTCAATTCAACATTAGTACAGTCATATTCTTTTTTATTTGACTTAAGTTGTTCGATATGTTTTTCTAATTCAGATACTTTTTCAATTGCTTTTTGTTTCTCAGTCTGTTCTGAAGCAATTTCTAATTCGAATTCTAACGACATCTGATTTAATTTGGCGCGTAGGTCATCGTTCATATGTTTAAACGTATTATTCTGGGATGTAATATTTTCAATTTCTGCCTCTAATTCTGTTATTTTGTTATTTATTATTTCAGTATTTGCACGTTTTTCTAATGTTAAAATTTTGTCCATTGCTTCTTGCTTTAAAGTATGTTCTGATTTAATTTTGAATTCCAAGTCTGTAATTTTGTTATGTAATTCATTTCTCAATTCAACATTAGTACAGTCATATTCTTTTTTATTTGACTTAAGTTGTTCGATATGTTTTTCTAATTCAGATACTTTTTCAATTGCTTTTTGTTTCTCAGTCTGTTCTGAAGCAATTTCTAATTCGAATTCTAACGACATCTGATTTAATTTGGCGCGTAGGTCATCGTTCATATGTTTAAACATATTATTCTGGGATGTAATATTTTCAATTTTTGCCTCTAATTCTGTTATTTTGTTATTTATTATTTCAGTATTTGCACTTTTTTCTGAGTTATTCTTTAACTTTCCCAATTCTATAGACTTGTTATTTAATTCTATATGTAATTCTCGACGCATGTGCTCAAACTCATTTCTTTCGGAAGTAACATTTTCAATTTGTTTTTGCAATTCCGTAATTTGTTTTGTTGATTCATTACTTAAGACAGCATTGATGCGTTCAAATTTATTTTTTTCTGATATAATACTTTCCATTTGCTTTTCTAATTCTGAAATTTTTGTCATTTCTTCTTTTTTCATATTTTCTTCGGACATAATTTTTAATTCCAGTTCTGTTGTTTTTTTCTTTAATTCTGCACGTAATTCACGGCTAATATATTCAAATTCATTTCTTTCAGAAGTAATATTTTCAATTCTTTTTTCTAGTTCTGAAAATTGTTTCATTGTTTTAAAATTGGATTCTTTTTCTGAAATATTTTGTTTCTGAATTTCATTCAATTTAGTACATAATTTAGTAATTATAGATTCTAAATTTGTTTCTTCTGTAAGATTAAGAGCTGCAAGTTGTTCTTTCACTTCTGTAACATATCCCAGTTTATAACATTCCAAAGATGACTTTATTTGTTCAGTTTGTTGTTCTTTCTCTTCCTTAAAACGTAAACGATTACATATATATAATGACTATATCATTATATGCATAACTAATCATACTTACTCGTGCACAGCAATGATTTCCTTGACATGTTAGCTGTTTTTCTAAAGTTGTAAATTCACGAAGTTCTACAAATTCTCTTGTTAATTGACTAATGCATCGTCGTAAAACATGTTTTGGTGTGGAAGGAGACATTAGATAACTGTTACAATTTTTAAAAATAAATTAAAATTATATTACACAATTTTATAATTCATTCTCATATTAATCTTTACTACTTACCTTACAGTTTGGGTCGATATGTTACTTTTTTCTGGTGTTATATCAATACCATTATTTTTAGATTTAATGTTGTATACATCATCCACAAATGTAACTCTATTTCTACGTTTTGTTACAAAATAATCCTCGTCAATGTCGCTTTCTCTGGATTCACGATTTCTTTCACTCTCAAATAGTTCTAACTCAAAATCGGTAAAAGCTGTTTGAAATGCTGATAAAGTGGAAAACAATATAAAATTTATTGAAATAAATATGGGATATAATAAAATTAATATGGCAAATTTACTTTGATTCATTATGTCTATAGATTGTATGGTGCTTTTTCTTTGTGGCATTTCGAATGATACTTCTTTTATCGTTGGCAAGCCAGTTTTAGTTTGAAATATCGGTAAATGTTGATTAAACACTCCAGGACCACCCCATGTTTGTCTTCTTTTCAATTTGCATTTAAATGATTTTTCTTGAGCTATATTATCTCCGGAAACAATACGAGTTTTTAGTAATTCTATGCGTTCTTCTAATAATTGATTAATACGATCTTTTTCTTGCAGTTTGGTTTCCATTTCTTCAACTTCTGCAGATCGATTTTCAATCTTTATTCTCTAAAATAACAAGTTCATGCAATTACAACTCTAGATGAAATGAGAAATATAAAAAATTTATCATCATAATAATTCAAATTAAAAACCTGCAATTCTTCTTGAAGTTTAGCTAGTTGCCTTGCATAGCGTTTCAAAAGTGCCGCATCGGACATGACTTCATTAATTTGTGGTTTGTTTTTCACACTTTTCGCCCGAGAGGCAAAACTGAAATTATAATTATACAAATTTTATAGTAATAGAAATAATAGATGATACAAATATATACAATATGTGATTTAAAAATAGTAATTAACTCACGACAAAGTACACTGAGTCTCTTCTAAAGCAGCAGGAGTCACAGCACATATTATTGCTGTCATGGCATTACCACCTAGTGAATTTTGAAGTAATCTTGTTAATTTACTGTCACGAAAATTAACATGCTTTTGACCATCCTGGGATTCACTTAATTGCATGATTACTAAACCTAGGGTAGACAAAGACATATTAATGTGTCTTCCTTCTTTAAATCTCTCTCCAGTAGCTCCTGTTTGTCTTGCTCTTTCAGAACCAGCAAGATCTACTAAATTCAATTGTGATACTTGTATAGCACTATTTGAATCTCCAGCTTCTCTACTTTCAATTGTCTAAATACAAAATTTATATTAAGATATTGCATTTAAACAAAATATGTAGTGTATGATAATATGAACTTACAATTCTAAATATAGTATGACTTCTACTACTACGCTCATTCATATTAGTTTCCCCTATTCTTCTATTTTTATCTCCTTTTTTCATGATAGATAACACATTTTCAGGGCTATTTGTAATTTCCTCTTTACATTGTAAGATTACCTGTCCACTACTGTCTTCTTTCAATTTTAAATCAGGCCCACTTTTATTCAAAAGATCATTTACTCTTTCATTGTAAATTTCTAAATAGGATACTCTACAAAATAAATTACTTTTTATATGTATAATTATGATGAATATATTATCATTACATCTTATTATTAAGAAAAATGTACCTCAGTAAAAATTCACGCCCACTGGTATTAGCAATAGCATCAAACATGTGTTGCACAGCAAGTGGCACAATCCCCAGTTCTTCTGCACTACCCATCATAGTGTATGTTTTCCCAGAACTTGTTTGACCATAGGCAAAAACCGTACCATTAAAGCCATTTACAGCAGCATTAACAATTGGTTTTACAACAGTATCAAATACATCCCAATTAGATGCATTCATATCAAAGATGTGATCTGTAAACATAAAGATATTAATACTGATTTAATAAAAATATAAAAAATTCCGAATTAATGTTATTGTCATAATGAATATAGGAAATAATACCAAAATAAAAACCGCCATCTCCACGCTTCTTCACTTCTTGATCTGTAGAAACAATGGAATTGCCTTGAATTGTCCACTGTATCCCTAAATTATCATCCTTTTCACGCTTAATTAAGGGTCTCACTTTAATAGCTACTTTTATACTGTCTGACATTTTTACTAATTGTTTGTTTCAAATCACCGAATAATTACGAATTAGTTACTTTTTCAATTAATATTTACTCATTTCATTCATATTATATGTTGTCTGACACTTGTAAACTGTAACCGCCATTTGAAAAACTGACCTTTTCAGTTTTCATTTGAATTTAAATCTTCTATAATCTGATTGGTTTATTCTGACATATAGTTACTAACAGTAAGATAGGTGACAAATGTGAATAAATACAAAGTAAGTCCCATTTATATGTAATACGATTTTTGTAGTTTTTAAATGGCGCGAAAATGTAGACCAATAGTATTTGAGTAAAAACTATACATCTACAAAAGTTCAAAATTATATATTTTTAAATTACATTACATTCTAATTATTTTACCTAATTTATGAAATTATAATAAATTTTGGATTATCAAGATAATTTGAATTTATAATATGTAGTATAAACATATGAATTGCAAGTGTGTTGTAAACGTGAGCAAAGATTTTAGTGGATTTTTTAATTATAGCCAATGACGTCGCAGTTATGCATTTTAAAATGAAAAGTGTTTGGCGCGTTGCGAAATTCAAATTATAGTCAAAAGTAATTTTCATAATACTGTAATCTTAGATTTTAAAATTTAGAAGTAATAAAGTTGGTGATTCAGTAGATAAAATTGATATTTAAATTTTTGTACTTTCTTGCAATCACGTAAATAAAATTTATCAATAATTTAACATGCACTTACATTTTTCGACATTTTATAGTTACATTATACTTGTATTTATCTTTTTAATACTTATATCAGTGTTTTTTAATAATATTTGTGATACTAAAAAATTAATATTTATTAATAATTAATACTTCACTTATTTAGTCTTCCAAGTTCTTTAAGGGATACTATGTGAAAAACTACAATTATTAAGTTTACAATAATTTATTATATATCCATATATATGTATATACGTATATGTATTTCTACAAAACTAAACATTAATTAATGCATCATATATAGTTACATATATATATATAAAAAGAATAATATTATTTTTCATGACTAGCATTATATAAGCTCTTTTTTTCGATTTGTCAGTCCAGAAATACAAATGTTTTTATTTCAATGTCCTGTTTAAAATTATATTAGATTAGAATAGTAACTTATACTTGTAAAAATGTGTTTCAAAAAAATCATTAAGCATTATAAATTAATAACAGAATGATCTATAATATTCTTTACAATTTAATTATCCTTTGTTATTTAAATGTAAATGCTAGAAGAATAAAATATTCAATTCGTTTCTACATTTTTGTAAAGATGCGATAAATAATGATTTACGAATACTTCAACTTTCTCTGATCTGTAAGGAGAACAGTTCAATTGAATCAACTGGTTGTATTTCGGCTGGATTAGTTGTCTATATTCTTATAAATAAAGAATAGACACAATCCATTGTTTGCCAACTATGCATGTTATTTTTGGTACTCTTTTTATAACAATATACCGTTCTCTACATTCTATGCTGTGTTAAACTTCAATAACTCATCTATCAAACGATCAGAAGCATGTCTCTACAATGCTTTAGTTTGGTGATTCTCTTTGGTCTCAAGACGAGACTAAAGATAGCATTATTCTTGCCATTATAACTTACTTTGAAAGTGCTTTCCATTATACGGATCATAAGTATACACTTACTAATCCGAATATATCTTAAAATAACAATATAATATTATAATAAATTAAGAAATAACTTATATGTAAATATTACAATGAAAAGCTAAAGTTGCTGTTATCTATGGACGGATTGGGAATAGATTACTTGCCGCGAATCTTCATTCTTATAAAATTTTATAATGCATAATAAATATAGTATAGTATAGGAATGATTAAAGAAAAGGGAAAGAACACGTCCAATAATATTAGTCTATGATATCAGAATAATTTGAAGGCACCTAGAATATTGTACTGCGGTAAATATATGTTAGAATTTAAAATGTGTAATAAGTTTGTACATAATCAGTTCCAAATTCGTATAAAAAATGTATGTAAAAATTTGCGAAATACTAAAGTATCAAAATGTTATATTAATTACTAGTTCTCAAATAACCTATGATAATGAAGTTTAAGTATTTACGACTAGCATAAGACATGTTAAATTATGTTCCCATATACGGAAGAATTATTAAACATACTACTTGTCTTGTAAATACCATTGAACATACATTGGCAGTTTCAACATCTGATTCAGTCTGAAACAATATTACACCTTATTTCAGCTGTGCTGGTGTGGAAGATCTATCGTAAGACGGTGGTGGAGGTAAAGCTAATGATGGCGGTAAACTGGTAGTGCTTGTCAGAGTAGAATCTAATTTCCGAGCTTCATGTTCTAATAACACTGCGTCTAATGATGGATCTTGCGCTACGGTTCTCAAAGAATCGCCTAAGGCCTGCCTTAATTGTTGCATTTCTCGGCCAGCTCTTGAACTTCGTAAGACGTATAATTGTCGACGTTTTATTTCTTGATTAAGTTGTTCCCGCAGTAGTTGTATCTGTTATTTATACATTTATTCATAAATGTAATGTACATAACTATTCATAAACACTGCAAATATATAAATATAAACAAAAACGGATACCTGATTTTCTAAACGTAAAACTTGTTGACGGTGACTTTGTTCTCTTGCTTCTAATAATTTCTCAGCCTGTAATTGAGCTGCTCGAAGTCTTTCAACTTCTCCGGTCCTATCTCGACTAAAATCAAATATTGAGTGCGTGTGACTGTAACTTGATTTCATTCTTATAAGCTCCGCTTCCTTCTCTGCAAGTTGTGTTTCTAATCTACGGACTTTCAATCTTAATTCTCTATTTTCTTGCTCGTAATGATCTATATCGAAACTCGTGCCAAGTAATTCCATGTGTGCTTTTTCAGAACGTTCATAGCTTTTGCTACGGCTAGTTGATTTAAATAATGATAATTGCCGCTCCAAATTACGTTTATCAGCTTCCAATAATTTCATCTAAAACATAATAAAGTTAATATCTCTTCATTCTAGTTTCTATTACAAATACTTACTTTATCATTAAGAGCTTCCATTTTTCCTCTCATTTCACTTCTCTCTCTTTGCGCTATTTGTAACTGTCGTAGCAATTCTTCGTCTTTGTTTGTATTTTCTTCCTGCGGATAAGCAATTATTCTCAATTGAGATTCTAAGGCACAACGTTGTACTTCATTATTCGCTAATTCATTTTGTAGACAAGTAATTTGATCCGTTAATGTTTGATTTGTATGCTTCAAATCGTTCAAAGATTGTTGCAAAAATTCTATGCGTTCAGATAAAATTCTGCGTTCATTCTCAGTATTTGAGAGTTGTTTTTGTAACTAAAATATAATAAATAATAATATTTATATATAATAATAATTTCTTGTAGATGATTTTATTATACTGATACCTGTTTATTCTTCTCATTAGAAGCCTGTAGGGTAGTTGTTAATTCCATAATATTGTGATGCAATGAATTAATTTCATTCTTTAATTCGCTTTCTGCATTGGATGCTTTTTCTAATGTAAGATTTAATTGTTCTATGGTAGATTTCAATGAAGTACAACGTTCTTCTAAACTCGTTATTGTTCGGTTTTGCGTATCATTTCGTTCTTGTAATTTCTAAAAAATCAATACGGAATAGTATTTCTTGTATCTTAATGTAAGATTAAGAATTGTATAATTAACATACATGAATGTTTGCATCTTTTTCCTGAAACATCATTTGCAATCTTTGAAGATCACCTTCCAATGACATTCTTTGCAATTCTAATTTTGTAGCACGGGACTCGCTTCTGTTAAGTTCCTCTTGTAGATTACGTTTTTCATTTTCTACTTTGCTCAAAGTTTGTTTCAGTTTGTCTACTTTTTCCTGCACATTCATTCATTCATTATACAACATTAAACTAGAAATATTTATTTTATACAAAACAGTGTTGAATATTCTTACCTCGGACTGTGTTTTTTCTTCAGAATTATTATTAACCATCATTTCAAGATTGACTATCTTTTCACGCAATTGCTCGCATTCTTCTGTTTTTAGTTGCAAAGCGTTTAACTAAAACATATTTATAAGTAAAAGAACGAAGCTATCAAAATAATATATCTAAAATGTACCTGCATTTCATAGCCACTCTGTTTTTGAGAAAATTTTACTTCTAATGAATTCTTTTCGTCCTGGAGTATTCTTATATTCGTTAATAAAGTGTTTATTTGCATATCTGATCTATTCTGAATCTCTTGAGTTTCTACCAATTGTTTTTTCAAGTTACACAATTCCGTTTTATAATCATCCTAAAATTTAAGTGAATATGTTTTGGAAGTTACAAATTATTCTGATAAACATGTAATCTTTTATTAATTACCCTTTCACGTTCGATTTGAGCTACTTGTTGCATGAGAGATCGTACACCTTTTCTAATAGTTTCAGGATCAACATCAAGTATGACATCTCTAGTAGAATCAATGTGATCTTGAGCTGGATAAGAAAGAAAATACATCAATTGTACTTGACATTATTACTTAATATACTACTAATATATGTATTAATATAAATACATATATTATACATATATACCTCTTGCTGGGCTCCACCTTCTTGATGGACTCATTAATTTGAAGGGTATATTAACACTTCCATCCAATTGAATACCTGCAATCCGACGTAATGTCGAAGCCACGCTACTTAATTTTTGTTCAACATCTTTCTTTGCCATTTCCAGTTGTGATAATTGGGTATCTAGTGCTCGAACTCGTCCTTCAGAGCCCCCAAGACGTGCCTAGTTAATGCAATGAATTAAATCTTTTATTTCGCTTTTGCGAACAAACTTTTTATTGCTATTTTACTTTGAGTTCTTGAATCTGTTGGGAAGCATCAGCTAGACAAACTTCCAAGTTATGCTTTTGGTCCTCGAGTTTTCTTTCACGACATCGACTATCCTCGAGACGAACTACTAGTTCTTGTTCTCTAACTCTCCACCGTTCATTTTCTTCATCTGCACGTGAACGCAACCTTCCGAGCTCTTGTCTTGTTACTTTCAAGCTATTATCAACATCCATTAGCTGTCCAAAAAATAATGATAAGAACAAATATTTTCTATTTTAAAGTACTTCATATCTTACCTGTTTCTTGACTTGATGTAATTGCAGCTGCAAACGTTCTCTTTCTTCTGTTTCGTTAGTTAATCGTGCTTGCAATTCTTTTTCATCATTTTGTGCTTGCGTGTTATTCTGATGAGATTTCTGTAACTCATCTTGA